GCCCCGCCTGCCCCGCCTGCCCGTCCAGCGTAGGCTGGAGAGGCGGGCGCAGGCACAGCTTGTCCACGAGTCAGGGCAGCTGGAGCTTTTCCAACTGTGCTGAGAGCTGCATGGCGACAAGCTGATTGGACCCACAACTTAGGTATACCTCACTTCTTGCAATGGGCTGTGTCCCTGGAGGATTTCGAAAAGCGAATCCTACCCAGTAAATGCAGCATTCCAGGAACACCTTGAAGGAAATAGCGATTCCTTTGGCAAAGGATTCCTTTAGCAGGGAATTCTTCCTGCAACGGGAGCTTTTAGGGTACATTCTTTTATGGGCAAAGCGCTTTCTTATTTATTTTTACACAAAGCGCTTTTGCTTCTATTTGATTTTGTTTTTCTATAAAGTGTTTTGGAAGCACTTTTTTTCCCTTCCAATTTTCCTACAAAGGGCTTTTTCCTCTAATTGTTTTCTTCAGAGTGTTTTTCTCTGTTTTTTTTTAAGTTAGCACCTTTGTCTAATTTTTTCTGCAATGAGCCTTTTATCTAATGCATCTTTCTGCCAAAAGCTTTTGTCTGATTTATTTTTCCTGCGATGCGCGTTTCTTTTTTTTCTGTGAATTACTTTTTCCTCTAATTCGTTGTGCAGTTTTTTGCGTAGTGATTTTTTTTCTGAGAAGTGCCTTTTTATAACTTATTTTTCGTCCCACCTCACAAGCATTTTATACGTATATGTATATTTTATAAGAAAATTGCCCCGCAATGCGCAATTTTTTAAGGCGGAAAATTTTTGCTCTGCGAGCTGTAAAGTCTGGTAACACAGAAGCGCCCCGCCTCCCTCCCGGGGTCAAGTCTGGGTGTAGCGGGTTTTTCTTACCGCGTAGTCGCTAAAAGCCTCGGTTGATCGTCCGCAGCGGTCGCCCGCCGCGCCCCGAGTCTTTGTTCCCAGCCGGGCACGGACGCACTGGGGAGGGTCTGCGCTAAGAGGACGGCGCAGGGAATGGGTGGGGGACACGCGGTGCCGGCAAAGTGGCACTTGGGCGGGCAAGGATCGCGGCAATCGGAATGGGAGGCGGCAATCGCGACGCGAGCTTGCGGGTTTGGGGGACACGCGCTGGGAATCATCTCCCACCCAGAACCCCAGCAAACTTACCTGCAGCAGTACACGGAAGATGTACCAGCCGATGATGAGCAACTCAGCTGAGGCTGCCGCCACTGCCGCCATGGTTCCGAGAGCGGTGGATGGATGGTGGACAGCGAGGGTTCGCCGAGGTCTGCTGGTCTCTCGGAGTCCGCTGTTGGGCGCACTGCCGCAGCTGCAGCGGCCGCGCCTTAAGTACCGGCCCGCCACCTAATTGCGCATGCGTGCTTGGGGGAGCTTCATGAGGAGGGGTGCGTGGGGGCTCTCCTCATTCGCCAGGAGAGGAAAAAAAATAATCCATCTGCTCTTTCCACACCGACCCCCGCCTCCTGAATTCCATCTTAGCCCCCTTCCAGAAGATTCCGCCGTGCTTTTGAATTTTCATGTAAAATGGAAGGGTACTGCCACTGAGTAGAGCATAGGGCAAGAGTACGGGATGCAAACCTCTTGGTGCCGTGCCCTTCTCTCTGAGCCTGCAAATTTGAGTCTAGTATTTGGTGCTCCCCCATACCCCACTTAGTCGCGGATGAAAAACCGAAGTTAGGGGTAATTAGCCCTGTAGATCAAAAAAGATGTCCCTTCCAGGAACCTTGGCATCACGGCGTGTGAGTTTTAAGCCCAGGTCTTATGCTTCATAAGAGTCCCTGAGCGCGTAATCCCCTACGATTCTTTGCATCCCGCTTCTTTCGGTAGCGAGATCGTGATCTGCGGACGAGGTGGCTACTGTAGGGAGCTGACCCAGGACCGTGCACTCTGAGCGCAAAAATGGTAGTCACCGAGGATCTACTCTGTGGGAGGGATGCAGGCAGGATAAGCACCCTTTGTGAACTTTATGGAGTAGTCGGAATGTGTCGGGATAGTTTTCTCCGGACCGGACGTTTCAATCTCTGTCTTCCGCTCCCTTCCCCCAGGCCCTGGTAGGTCTGCCTTAGCCAGAATGGTTCTTTGTACCCTGGGGCTGAGCAGCTGGAATACGGAGCCGGGTTTCCCTACAGCTACCGGAGGATTGTGACTACTCCAGCCCGGTTTCCAGGCGAGGCGGGTGAGCGCCCGTCTTGCCAGCCGCTCGCGGAGCACGGGTTTTCAGGCGGGAAGACCCAAACACAGTTTCTGAGCTGGGCCCCTGGCGTACTAGTGGCTCGCCAAGCACTTCACTTTAGCAAGCTGCCTGACATGGGCCAACTGGCATTTGCCCTTATGTGGCTAGAAAATTAATTTTGATTAAAAGCTCATGAAGGGCTGGTTCTATACAGTGCCAGCAGCAGATGGAAGTGTAATGATCCAAACGAGTTCAGTTTGGATGAAGTGGCATAGTGATTTTCTCTGCATTGACTTTTGAAGAAGTTGCTGGTTTTGGCAAAATGACGCCGGGTCACTTGAAAAATGCAAGGTTGGCCCAGGCTGCCATCTTAATACAAAGTATTTGGTGGTGCCGCCTCCACTTGCAGCTTCCCCAAGATCCTCTGCCTGTTAGCTACTGCTCCTCCTCCCCGCAGTGCACCGCTAACTCCTTTAACTCGCCAGTGGTTTGCCCGGGCGCCTATCGCCGGGAGAGATGCTAGATACAGAACCTTATCCTACCACGTGGGGGCATAGCGCAGAGCCCATGGCGGTCCTGCGGCAACCACAGGGCGGTATTGTGAGGTCTGGGCCCCTTGAGGATGGGCCGCAGCTCCAGGAGGCGATACATGATCTCTGCCGGGCAGGGCCCAGGCAAAGCCAGGCCACTGTGGGGACCGTGCCAGAGAGCTCTCTCCCCGAGGCCCTAGGAGAAGCCCAGGGAAGACATCCCAGGAGGCTTCCCGAATGGGTGACTTGGAGAGGAATGGAACTTCCATGGGTGGGCAGGGAGGAAAGGGCGTTCATATTTGCTGTTGTTAACCATGATCCATTTTCCCAAATAAGTATATATTCTGTTCCTGTTTTTCTTTTCTTTTTTTTTCTCTTTTTCTTTTTGTTTTTCTGTCTGTCTGTCTGTCCTTTGTGTGTTTGTCTGTTGTGTTGACTTTTCTCTTCAGGATCCCTGCTGCCTTGGTGATCCCAGGCTGACAGCCAGAGAGCACAGCGGCTCAGCTCCTGGAGAGTGAGGGTTGAAGAAAGCGAAGGGCAGCCACCTGCGCCCGCTGGCTCCAATTGGGTCGGTTCCTGCAGCGGTGCCTGGCAGCCTTGGCGAAGGCCCTGCCCAGCAGAGATCATGTATTGCCTCCAGTGGCTGCTGCCTGTCCTCCTCATCCCCAAGCCCCTCAACCCCGCCCTGTGGTTTAGCCACTCCATGTTCATGGGCTTCTACCTGCTCAGCTTCCTCCTGGAGCGGAAACCTTGCACAATTTGTGCCTTGGTTTTCCTGGCAGCCCTGTTTCTCATCTGCTATAGCTGCTGGGGAAATTGTTTCCTGTACCACTGCTCCGATTCCCCGCTTCCCGAATCGGCGCATGACCCTGGTGTTGTGGGCACCTAACAGCCCTGTGCTCTGTTAGCTTTCGAAGGAAGCAGAAGACGGGAGGGGAGGCATTGACATAGGTCATAAAGCATTGGAGTTTCAAATCCCGCAACCCCGCGGGTGCCACATTCCTGATGGCGCCTTTTTGGCCTGTGATGTTTTATCCTTATAATGTGAATAATGGCACTGACCGGTGCTTTTATTGTAGAGTCCTGTAGTCATGGGTGATCTTGTGGTTGTGTGTGTTCTGTCCCCATCTTGGTCCTGGTTCGCAGGATGGCCACCCCCCTCACCTCATTACTGTGAGGAGACTGCACCCATCCTGGTCAACCACCCCAGAGTGACCTTGGCAGATAAAATGCCAGTCTCATTGTCACCTCTGTGACCCCTCCTTGTCCGTGTCTCCTTCCTTCCCAGAAAATTACTGACTCCTCAGTCCCTCTCCCAGTTTCCCTTCTCTTCTACCCCTTTCCTTTTTGAGGGGGCACCTGTCTAAGACAGGGCCCATTTTTGCACTTATCTCGAATTTGAAGAGATTGCTGACGCCCGAGAGCCTCGCTTTTTCATCCTTTCCTTGTTCAGCAGGCTAGACAGAAAAATGTCTTGACTGTTTGTTGTCCACAAATCTCCCAATATTTCCCCCACTTCATTTTTAAGAAAGGAAGCAACACGTAAATATTACTCTTTCACCTCGTGTCTGGGCTCCTGCTTGCTGGCCCAGCCCCACTTCCTTTGTCCTTCCTCCCGTCTTTATCAACTCTCCCGAGGAGGGGGGCCTCATTGTGTCTCCTGTGCATGCTCTGCAGGATTGAGATATGATGTGTTCACGTAGATCTAGCAGTCCCCAGCTGAGTGAGTGAGAAAGTATTTGTGTGTTTCATAACTGCCATGATCCCCTCGATAGGTGTTTGAATATTTTTTGATGTGCCCTCTGTGTGTGTGTATGTATACAAATACACGTATATATTCCTTTTAAAGAAGCTTTATCAAACGTATTCTGATTTTGAGGTTTAGCACTAGCTAGCTATATATAGTAGGTGCCGCTGCAGTTTTTATTTAGCATGGGGATTGCAGAGTGACCAGCACACTGGACTCCGAGGTGGTTCAGACAAGACAGAAGGGAGCAGCGATCATCGTCCTCCCACCAGGAGCTTCTCCGTTCCTGCGCATGTGGACTGTACATTATGAAGAATACACAGGAAGACTTTGTGACTGTCACTTGCTTCTTTCTTTTTCTGCGCTTCAGTAACAAGTGTTGGCGAATGAGACTTTCTCCTGGCCCTGCCCACTGGGGATCAGCATGCTTGTCCTTCCAGTCAGAACCATGCCTCTTTCTTGCCTGAGGGCAGAGGGAGGTGGGCCAGTCAGAGAACAGAACTGGAGGCAGTCCATCTAGGGAATGGGACTGCAAGGCTGTGAGGCCACACTTGTGAAACGTTTGGACTGCTGTTCTGGAGCTTTTGTTTCTGGTGTGTTCGTTGCACAGCTGTTTGAAATGTTTAATAAAGCTTTATAAACTTTACTGTGTGTCTTTATGTGGCTGCAGTCCATTTGGGTCCTGGTGTTGGATTTCTGAGTTAGGTGGGGGGCAGGGAGAAGCATGGAGGGGCTGAGTCCTTGGCGCCAGGGTACCTTAGCCCAAAAATTTGATCTGCTCACTGGAGAGCAGATGGTGGGGTTAGAGGAGGGGGGCCGGCCAGGCAGTGAACAGGGGGGAATCTGAAAGTTTTCAGAGATGAGACATTTGTGTTTCTCAGCTCCCATGGCTTCTTGCCTGAAATTGTTTCCCTCCATAGGAGATTTAAGTAACCGATCCCTTGACAAACAACTTAAGACAGCTGGAGCTCTATAATCATCAAGGATTTTTATGGTGCTGCTTTTGAAGTAAAAATAAAGTGAAACCCCTTATGACATTTCAAGTGGAAAAATAAATAAGACTGGCTGTCCAACCAGAAGACTTAAGGCAATGACTAGAAGTATAAGAGTGGTTTGATTCCATGTCTAGATGGCTCCCGTGGCCATGACTTTTGAGACAAAGAGGTCTAGCTTATCAGGCCCCTGTACTGGGCAGGCACCTCTGAATCTCTCTTCCTTTCCTCTAGTAAGCATAGTAAGAGCACTACTTGTTCAAGGCATGAGGCTCTTGTGAGGATTTATTGAGATAACAGTTGTGAAGGGTTTTGGTAATTTCATAGTTGATCCCCTGTTTTACCTACCTAGATTTTTTATTTATTGCTATGAAGTTGAGTGAAGTTTTCTCCTGCTTTTTTTAAAAAATCTCTCCATTGTAACATTATCCCTTTTTTCATTTCTAACTTTGCTTATTGATGGTTGCTTTTCTTGAGCAAAACTTGCCAAAGATTTGGCTATTTTAGAGGCATTTTGAAAGAATCGGACTTCTGTCAGTCATATCTGCTGGGTGTTTTTCCTATCTGATTCCTTTGTGCTTTTATCTCCGAATTCTTTTCTGGGTTTCCGGATTGATTTTGTGGTTCCGCAAAATCTTGACAAGCTGAGGAGTCATATACATGGAAAGGATGGTTTGTTCAACAAACATTGAGACCCTGTACTAGGCTTGCTGGGGATTTCAGGAGCAAGACCCAGGCCTGACTCTCCAGGAGCTCAAGCTTCTAGCCTAGTGGGAAGACTTAACAAAACAGACAATTGCAAATTCCAAAAACAAAACAAACAAATAAAAAAGGCTTTTGTGTTCCTACTCTCCTGTGGAGGCACCTGGATGATAAATGAAGCCAAGATTATTGCTTATTTTACTCTCCCTCAGAAAGCAGCTTTCTGTTTTAGGTCAAGAGGGCTTAGGAGTCACAAACAGGCCTCCCTCAGAAAGATTTGTGGCCCTTTCCAGCAGGGGTCCTGCACCCCCACCTTCAGGCCGCTGCCGAATCAGCATTCTGTAAGCCTGACAGGTACCCCACCCCCTGAACTGCCTTTCAGGAAAATGAAAAGTAGATAACACTTTGCTAAAAACGTAGGAACACCAAGCCTTAGAAACGCAGGCTCTGTGTTCCACTGGCCACTGTAGCTCCCAGTATCAAATGGTTGCTTATGTGGCACTTAGTCACCACAAGACCCTGGGAAGCCTAGGTCTGGGCTTCTTGAGGAACTGGTCTGTGCCCTGCTATGGGCCTCAGTTTCCTTATAGGTAAAATACATGTGGAGCAAACAGTTTTCCCAGCCCTAATATTCTGGGAGTTATTTTTCCCAGAATCTTAGAGTCCTCTTGGACCCACTTAAGAAAAGTCGCCAAGGCTCGGCGCCTGTGGCTCAAGCGGCTAAGGTGCCAGCCACATACACCTAAGGTGGCGGGTTGGAATCCCCAGCCCGGGCCCGCCAAACAACAATGATGGCTGCAACCAAAAAATGGCCAGGCGTTGTGGCGGGCGCCTGTAGTCCCAGCTACTTGGGAGGCTGAGGCAGGAGACTCGCTTGAGCCCAGGAGTTGGAGGTTGCTGTGAGCGTGATGCCATGGCACTCTACCCAGGGGAATAGCTTGAGGCTCCGTCTCAAAAAAAAAAAAAAAAAAAAAGGAAAGGTCGCCAAGCTCTGAGTAAATAGCTGCACAGCCTGAATGTGCTTTATGCTTAGTATACCCTGTGAGCCCAGATACTGCCTCTGCCAGGATGATTTCTTGGATTTCTTCCTTCTCCCTGGGGATCCACTGCCCAGATCACTTCACTCAGCCTTTTGTTGAATGCTATTGTTAGGTAGACTCATGGCCCAGGAGGGCTCTTCCTGCCTCCCAAAGGGGCCTGCAACATACATCTTTCCCCCAGTATTTGTCAGACTTCCATGCAAGGGGAGGCCTTGGGACAACACAGTGGATGAAGCAGATAGTCCCCTATGTTAATCAGTTCGATGAAAATATTTCAAATTGTATGTAAAAACAGCACACTGTACCCCATGATAGTATTAATGTACACAGCTATGATTTAATAATAATAATAATCATAAAGCAGATAGTCCCTGCTCATGGTAAAGGGGATGACAGTGAGTATCCCAAGGACACACAGCTAAGGACTGTGGCAGGTGCTAAAAGGGAGTCTAAGAAGACTGGGAGGGTTGACATTCAGCTGGAGGCCTGAAGGAAAAGAATACAAGTTTGAGCAGTGAAGTAATAAGATCTAATCAAGCATCTCTATGCTTACAGATAAGGAGACTGGGCTGAAATAAAATGAAGGACCACCAGTATCTGGCTGTCCTAGAATCAGAACCCAAAAAGGCTTTTTGGGATAAAGAGGTCTGTCTGTTTAAAGCCAGAGAACTATTGAGAGCTACTAAGGGGGTCAGGCTAAAATGCCGGTGTCAGATCCTAAAACTGAATCCTGAGTACTCTTCAGTTTTTAATGGACCGGGAACCATCACAAAGCTCTGATGGGAATGGCAGGTGAGCCAATCAGGACAGCATTTAAGGTGGGATTCTTTCAGCAGGCACAGGACAGCATTTGAGTGGCTAACGTAGCAGGGCTATAGAGAAAGCAGCTGCCCCATCTAGGTTACTGGGCAGGGGAAAAGTGCATCTAAGGAATGACCCTAGTAA